ATTATGAATTATGTTCGTTTTTTCAAAGAATGAGTGTATTTGTTTGGCAATATGGCGCTCAAATATTTTGGATATAGTTGATAAAATTGATATCGGTCGATATAGTTATTTAGTTAAAAATAGGTATAACTCTAGCTCTTTTTAAATCATCTGGGAAAATATTAGATTAATACTATTATTGATAATTGATGCAATTATTGGTGTAATATAATCTCCACAATATTTAATGATGTTTGGTCCAATTCCATCTAATCCTGTAGATTTTTTTAATATTCAGTTTTTCAAATATAAGTTTTACTTCAAACGGTGTAATTAATTCAATATCAAATTCATGATATATTAGCTTTTGGTCTAAAGTTTCTTTCAAGTTTGAAAAATTTGTATTTGAAAACTTTGTTTTATGTATGACATTCGAGATATTGACAAAATACTTGTTTAATTCATTTATAATATTTACATTTCCGTAAATTTCTTTATTACCTGTCACTAGTCTATCTGGCATTGTAATACAACCTTTTTTATTTAGATTTGAAACGTCCTTTAAATTTTTCCATAAAAATGCCGGGTCTTTGTTATTTTTAATAGCATTGTTAAAGAAATCTCTTTTAGTTTTTTTAATCATTGATGATATTTTATTTCTGAGCAATTTGTATAGTTCATGTTTCCCTACTTTAAGATAGTACTCGCGTTCATGTATTAGATATTTAATCTCATCAGTAAACCATTCCGGTGTTCACGTTTGATACGTTTTTCTTTTATTGGTGCATGATTTTTCAATATTGTATTTAAAATGGAGTAAAATAAGCTAAGAGATTCATTCGGATTAATTATGTGCTCGACTAATTCAAGATCGGATAAAGCAAGGTCTACCTGAAAATCAATTTCATTGAAGTTTTTAAAACATCTACATGTATATTTAATCGAATTATGTTCATTTATCAATCGGGTACATGCTTTCGTTGATCTTGAAATACATATCGGATAATGATCACTTAATGAGGTATCAGAAACAAACGATTCAATAATATATCTGCTACTGATTGTATAAACATGATCTATAATTTTTTGGGTACGTTTTGTTATCCTAGTAAGATCTGTGATAAGTTGTTTCAAACCATATTTCGTTATCAAATTATCCCATTTTGTATTGTCATATTTTTTCTTTTTATTCATTGGATTAAAGTTTATATTGACATCACCTAGAATATGATATTCTATATTTGATATATCTGTTATACTTAGTTTTTTTTCATAATCGTCAATCCAAGATTGGTGGGCGATATATAAAATTTAAAAGAAAAGGTTTGCAATTTGAGTAAATAATTTCCAACCAAACAGATTCTAATTCGTCCGTTTCTATATCGTAACGGCGCCGATATGGCACCTTGTCAGCAATATATATTACAATTCCCCCGCCTTTATGACAACTTTTACGGTCCTTTTTTCGTGTGTAAAATTGTTTATATTTAATTCATCATCTGTTGTATCATCACCAAGAAATGTCTCAGTAAGGCGAAAATATCTGGCGCATTTAATTTGTTTAATAAATTGCATTTTATTTCGTCTATTTATGGCATTAAATGATTAACGTTAAGGTGTGCAATATGTAAACCTCGTTTTTCAAACTTAGAATTGAACAATTTATTATCTGGAAAATTTGATTTATGAAGCGTAACATTATTTAGTACTTTGCAATTATATTCATCATTTCCGTATTTATTGTATGGCACTGATTGTTCAAAAGAAACAATTTGATTATCAGATGCATTAGTGTCTATAAATTTCCGTTATTTTACTATCAAATCGATAATTTTTCTCGTATTTAAACATATGTGTAAAATATCAATTGTGGAGTACAACATAACATCGTAACATACATTATAAACAATAGTAAAAGAAGGAGTGTTCATGCCTCCTATCATAAAACAAGTTTTCCTGCAACCATTTTGTAGGAACATATCGAAACCGACTTTTTTATTTAACGGAATTATCCTTGGTTTTAAAGACATAAAGCATCATCTATCATTTATCTTTCAGCTACAAATTTGAACTTACTCAACAAAACACAGATGGCATCTGGAAATTCATGCGTTTTAACTTTATAGTAAATTATTGTAGTCGATCCCCTATAGTGCCCCTATTTACTGTCCTCGTGCACATGAAATCTTTACTACAGGGTATTTTTAAAAGAAAATTTTGTCACAGAAGAATTCGTCATAAGAGCATTAGTAAGTGTATCGAGAAAATATGTATTTGTTGCGATGTTGTAAATTCTTTAGACGTCCCAAGCTTTACGCAGTGTATTAAATAGGTATATATAGGTATTTCAGTTTCTAAATATAGATAGTGACGAATAGGAAAATCTTTATTTAATAAAAATACTCACAGATTAAGGGCATACAGGGCAAAATTTGAATTATAAGAAAGCCTTTTTGTTACAGGGTGTAGGGGTTATATTCCCATATAATATTATTTTGTATAGAATGTAAAGTTAGTACTTGTATATGGTATATATCTAAAACCTCTAACTCTTTAATATCTTGATAACAGTTAATATGTTGCTTATCTTAAAATTTGAAAATAACCAGCAACATCAATTATCAAATGAATAGGAAAAAGTAGATCACCGCTCATAAAACATAGGTCAAAGTTCAAGGTCACAATTGGAGTGTCAGTGATTTTAAGAAATATTGGATTTTCCAAGGCTACGAAGTACATTTAAAGGTTGAATGGTCAAATAAGGTTAAATTAATCTTGTTATGTTATGCACAGTACAAGTAACATGTATTGCAATTTTCAGGTACATAATGTACTTAAGTTTTTTAGTTGTAGTTAGAATATATTTCTTGTGAAAAAATTATTTTTAGATTTAGTTAGAGTATTATTGCTTGAATCCTTATGTTGTTAAATATAGATGTGTGCTATTTGCCTTTGCTTTAAGATGAAAAAAAAATATTACAATCTCTGAGAAATAAAATGAAAACATACGATATTGATTTAAATACAAATTATAGTGTCAAGGTGGACATAATTATATAAGGTAATGATAAAAATACCTTCATCTATATACCATCTTTAAAAATGGTACTAGTCAGGGTGCTTAAAAGTGCAATAAAAAGTATGATAAGAAGAAAGATGAAATACATTGTGTATGCTTATCAGCAATGATGTGAGAAAACATTTCAGTTTCATTTTGTTAAGATGTGAATAATATCGAATTTATTATTATGAGTGATGTTGCTTATACATTGTTTGTTTATTTGTGCAAAATGTTTATATATAATTGTATACATATACGAAAAATATATATTAGGTGTATAATTTATTTGGTAAAGAAGGGGAGAAAGATTTATGGTAGCATATTGTAATATCAGCCATTATTTGATATATTAACACTTAGTTTGCTGAATTGTATAATGAATTTTCCATGCTTTGCATGGAAACACAGTCTATTTAAAGTTTAAAGGCACATTAAGCCTCGGAAATGAAAAAAAGTTTATTTTTGTAGAAAAGGCAAACATTTGTTCTATAATGTTGTAATAATGGATTTAATATATCCTAGATGCTTAAATCACCTGTTGAGTGTAAAATAAATATTTGATTAAGGTAGCAAAAATGTAAAACAAAATGGCAATTTGACTTTCATGTAAAATACTTATATACCAACAGTGCTTTATAATTATTGTCAAAACAAAAAAGAAACGAAAGATGGCTTAGAAATATGGCCAATGAGTGAAAGTTTGTAAACTACTGTGGCTGAGGATACTAAAAATTAAAGCTTTTGAAAAATAAAAGTGATAGTATTATATAGGCTTATCAAAAATACATGTATCAACAGTAAAAAGCATAGTTAAACTGCACAAATGTGCAGGCTGGCCTTGATCGGTTCTTTACCAATTTGCAAAGGCTTATCACTTGAATCCAACAGGTTTATGGTTAAAATAACATTCAAAAGTGTAGCAAATAGGTTTTCATATTATGACATAAAAAATAGCATGTATATAAGAAAATAATATTTTGGATGCAGGGATTTTTTTCACTAATGACATGCATACATTTAACAACTGTTTTGATATATTTAGCAATAGACTGTTTGCATTTTTGTTCATTAATTGAGAGATTTTGCAAATGGCATTCATTGACGTCTTAAAGTTACAATGTCAGCTAAAGGTCAAAGGTTAGATAGAGATGGCACAATACCTTATAATTATCTAATTTATGAACATCTTTTGTAGTTAAAGCAGAAATTAGCTACCAACATCTCTTAAAATGTTTATTAATTGAAGGGTATATTTAGTTTCAATACCTATATATAAGTATTGAATTGTTTGAGTGCATTAATAAATATTTTGTTACGGTCAGAGAAAAGAATGTTTGATTATAGTGTTTTACCATTTATCAAATATTTTGTGACATTATACCTTAAACATTTGATAGTTATAAAAATCATTAAATGTAAACAGTTATGGGTATTTTAAATCAAATTGGAATCAGAAAATAAGAATCTGATGGGTTTTTTTTTAAATCCTATTTGGTTGCTGGTTTAATCAGAAGACATTTTTTTACTTTGGCCTTAAAGTAGCATACCTCCAGATTCATGATAAATTTTATAAAAAAATTCAGTAAGTGTTTATTTTCATTTTGTGTGTAAAAAAGGGATTGGTTTTTTACGTAGGATACTAACTATCAAAAGACTTTCAAATATAGTATTTACACCAAAAGTCTTGGAATAAATCTATGGTAATGAAAGTGGTATTAGATAAAGTCATATTTTGAAGAAAAAAACGCAAAGGGTCAAAGGATTGTGAATACTTCATATTCATTTTCAGGGTAAAGTATTTAATTAACACTTAAAAGTTTGACTTTTGAACATTTATTCATTCAACTGGAGGCATGCGGCTTTAATATTAATAATAGCAGATAGATGATCTTAATTTCTTTGCTTTTTGTTATTATTCGATATGCTTAAAGGTGTGTTCTCTTTTTTGTTTTCTCTTCAGTTACACGTTTACGTTGATCCAAGATAATACTGACAAACACTGGTTTTTCCAGCGTTATTCTTTGATTTACGAGTATTACACTCGACCAGTGCTGTGTCCGCCACTCATAATTTTCTCCCATGTTTATCTGCTTGTAAAGTTCCTATTTTCCTGCTGCTGCTGTCAACAATCTACCTCTAATAATGATAATGAGGACGATTTCCGTAAGTCTATGTTTTGTTAATAAGCTTTTGTTATCTCCACAGTTGTTGCAAGGATATCGATAGTTTAATTTACGTCTTTCATTAGCGCAATTGCCATTCGTATATCTGAATTTTCAAACACATAACTTAAAACACAATTAGGTAGAATAAATAGTTATCCTCATAACTTATTTACCTGTGATGAAATTAATTTACTTAGTCTATTGTAATACTATGATATTTAAATTAATTTGATTGGCTTTTTGATACATATATATATATGTAGTTGATATTAACAAAAAAAAGTAATTTCACATATTGCTTTATGCTCACTTGCCATGCTTTTTCTAGTATATGAAAATACTAGTTCAATACAATGAGACAATAATTATAATCATGTACTTCAGGTACGCTGTAAGTGATTATTTTACAAAGTGATATTTTTCAGGTCGTAAGTTTAAAAACGAGCGAGAGCTTGTTCAATGGGAAAATGTGATAGCAGACGCATTTCATCAGAAAACAGAATTAAAAGATTTTGAAAGTATGGAGTACAAAGTGAATGACACAAATACACTGTGAGTATAAAAAATGTTTGAATACTTTACGTGGTTCGTCAGTGGCCGACTGGTTAAGGTCATTGACTTCAAACCACTTGCCACTCACTGCTGTGGGTTTAAATCCCAACAGGAACTTTGAAATATTTCATATGATATGAGGAACCTGTCCATCTGGCTTACGGAATGTTGGTGGTTCTACTCGGGTGCCTGTTTGTGCCAAAAATAATGCACGGAAGGGCATCTGAGGTCTTCCTCCACCAGTGAAGCTGGAAAGTCGCCATATGACCTATACTGTCCATTGCATGTTACGCTAAGCTGTCCTGCTATCATGCTGTCCATTCATAGGATACAGCAGTAGAACATCCGTTTCCAATAGACACATTGTCTACTTTGTTACAGAATAATAATTGATAGAATTGTTTGTACTTTCAGCTTTGTTTTTATTAACAAGTTTATACTTACAGTACAAGTTTATATTTGCGGTACAAGTTTATATTTACAAGTTTATATTAACAAGTTTATATTTATGTATTTAAATTTACAAGTTTACATTTACATTTACAAGTTTATATTTACAAGTTTATATTTTACGAGTTTATATTTACGAGTTTATATTTTACAAGTTTATATTTACAAGTTTATATTAATATTAACAAGTTTTAATTTACAAGTTTATATTTTACGAGTTTATATTTACGAGTTTATATTTTACAAGTTTATATTTACAAGTTTATATTAATATTAACAAGTTTTAATTTACAAGTTTATATTTTACGAGTTTATATTTAGAAGTTTGTATTTACAAGCTTATATTTTACGAGTTTTTATTTACAGTATTAAGGAGTTAACAAGTCGTATAGATGAGCTACAGGAGCAGCAGTTACAGTTGTCACTGTCAGATAAGGTATCACAGTCACACCTAACACCTATAACACCTGTGTTTTCGTCTGGAAAATCACCCTATGATCTCTACCATATGGTGTGACTTGTTAAAAAAACAATAAAATAAAAAACATTCTTCAGATTTTTTTAAAGAAAACTATGCTTATCATTGGGTAAAATTATTTACTGCAGGAATTTACTGAAATCTGATTGAATATGTCTAGTTTGAATAATGAGATAATGCACAAATGCACAAACTATGTAAAACTGTATAGCCATTATCATTATTCTCAAAAATCAAATTTGAGCATTATATATCGTTAAAGAACCTTTAAGAATTGAAAATTCTCTAGCAATATGATAAGAATCTTACACTGGCTGCCGGTACAGACCGGAATATCTAGCTTTAGGGTGACTGTTTACGGCGGTAACGAGACTCTGCCGAGTTTCTGCTAAACAGTTACCCGAGAGCTAGATATTCCCGTCCGTACCGACAGCCGGTGTTTGATTATTTTTTTCTTGCATATTACATATCAATTATTTTAGAACAGAAATTATGAAAACTGATATTCTCATTACGCACTTTTTTCTTATAGTAGCGTATCAACGTACAACCTCATTCATAACGGTTAATTGACGTCATCTTAAGAACGCAATCCATTCATAAAAGGTGCGCAGCAATGACGTCATTTAAAGCACACGACTTGTCTTACATGGGGTGTAAGCGGTGGATAATCCTGTCTGATATGCAAGAAAATGATTTAATTTTAATTTATTACAGATGGAGATGACACATGACTCAATTAAGTGGATTATGAATTCACTTAAAGAAGGAAAGATGGCCAGTGATACCAGTGTCCCGCCCACTTTCATAGATTGGGAGGAGCAAAGATTAGAAGGTAACGGCTTGTAATAATTAAACTGGATTTTTTTATAGTTATATTTAATGTGTAATAATTTATGTCAGCTTCACAAATTATATGAATATTTGAAGCTTATTTAAATTGGACTTATATTCATATTTTTAAAGGTCGTATAAATTATATAGTTTTTGCAAATTTTAGCACTATTTTGCCTTGTTTTATTATTTTATTTGAAATTATTATGAAAGTTATACCTTAATTTATAGATGTTTTTTTATTCTTATTCATTACAATAAATTGTTACACACTTATATACCTGCTTTTTAAAGAAGTTAATGGCTTTACAATGTATTAATTTTATTTACATATAAACTGAGAAAATAATTTTCAACTCATTTTGTTTGTCTTTTGTTTTCTTTCAATACACTTTCAGAAGGTAAATATAGATGTATGCTATGCATGATACATGTTACATGTATGTGATACCCATGTTGACAAAGCACTTGAAACTCACGTAAAACTCTAAAAAATTGCATATTGTTTATTCTCACAATTTAAATAAAAAGAATACTCTCTCTATATCTCAATTATTATTGAATTTTATGCCCCCGCTACTTATGGGGAATGGGGAATTCAGATTTGCCTTTGTCGGTCCATCATGTTTTGTCTCTCCAAACAATGACAAAGCAATAGAAAGTGGAGATATCGGGGTGTAGCATTTTTTTTGCAGACATTTCTTCTTATTCTTGTCAATCATTCATCATTAAAAAATTGTAGCATTTAAGTGATAAATAGGTTTTCTTTTTTTTTCCTTGATTAAGATGATTTAAACATGTGTTTTCTTGTATTAAAAGATATTCTGTTGGATCAGGTACATGTAACTATAAAATGCACCTTTGCTTGCTATACACTTCTGATGTTTAATTGCTACCTTGTTAGTTTGAATACATTTTTCCCTAAAGAATGTTTAACAATATTATTTGTATGAATTTGAGCTTGACTATTTACATAGAAGAGAGAGCAGCTATTATACTCACACAATATTGCTATTGGCATCACACTTTGCTGCAAGTTGGTATCTCCAAAACTATTGAAGGGAATGGGTTAAAACTCCATACATATATCAGATTCTGAAAGCATAATCGAAGATCTTTTCAAAGACCCATAACTCTAACATTGATTTTGGCAGAATTATGGCCCTTTTTGAGACTAGAACATTATTCTACATTATTACAGCTCTTGTTTAACTATAGTCGAGCAGGCTGTGTCCTACTGAAACCTCCTGTGTATGTGTACTAAGTGAAATGAGCTTAATGAATATAATACAAATGTAACTATATAATTATCTTATTTAGACAGTTTTTTTAATTTTCATATTTGTTTTTTTTTTTTGCAAACTCAACTTGCTTAAAAGTGGGAGCATAGAGACAGACTGTAGCTGTTAAAAGCACATCAAGGTCAAACTGGCTTAGTCGTTGACCTTTGTGGCTAAGGGTAATCTACCAAGCTACAAATAAAAAAAACACTACAATTTTAAGATGATTATAAGGTGGAGCAACCCTATCTGAAACATCAAGAAAACTGTATCAAAAAAAAAAAAGATTTTATATATAGAAAACTGTCAACTTGAACTTTTTTGAAATAATAGTTTTCACAATGCACTTATTACGGCTAACATCATTATATTAAGTCATTTTATGTGTGCAATTAACAAGTCACTTTTCACTACTAATCATTTTCAAAAATGAAAGAAAAAGAACATGCGACTTTTCCTTATTTGACTTATTAGGAAACTGGACAGAAATTTTCTGGATGATATCATATAGAATTTTATTACGATATGTTTCTTTAATGGACTTGTCCATCTTTCAGTCAGGACAAAAGCCAATGATTAATCATTTTTAGTGAAATTTTCAAAATAATAAGTGCTAAGTGACTGGACCTTTCCAGTGTTTACAGTTTTATGAAAATGTACTTGTTATCAAATTGCTACACTGAGATAATACATAGTCATTGGTTGACCTGGCTTGCACAAAAGAACACGTGGTTATGTTTTTGATACTGTTTGTGAGCAGTTTACCTAGCGCTCATTATGAATGGAAAAGGTGTGGCTAAATGTTCTTCTACGAAACACCGGAAAGGTCCATAGCAAACAGCCCACAATGCTAAATCTTTACTCTTCTTTTCTATTCATAGTTTGATTTCACAATGGTTTTCCAAATAAACGTCACAGATTTAGTTCACCAAGGTCTTTTTTATAATAATTAAAACATAATTTGTTGATTTTTGCATAGGGTTTAATGATGCAATGTTGTGTCACAGTGTTTTTTTCTTCTCATTTTCATAGCATAGTTCCACATGTTATGTGTAAAGGCATCTTTTTGTTTCACTTTAATCTTGTCCTTTTATTATGCCTCTAATTACAAAGTGGGGGCATAATGTGAAGGGGTTGGTCTGTATGTTGATATGTTACCTCTTCTTTGACCTATCAATAAATTGAGAAAGAATAAGCTATGGTTTAAATAACTAGAATAGAATATTGCTCATTACCTGTTAATGACCCCTATTGGCTTTATGTTCAAAGGTCAACATGGCATTGATACTTGTAACTAAAAGCTTGTCCAACTAGGGAACACTTTTTGCCTAAAGTTCTTCGATTTGGTGTGAAGGTCGGTAATGACTAGTAAATGACTCCTATTTGTCTTTAGAACAGTACCGGTCAAAGATTAAGGTCACTGTGGCCTTGACAACAAAAAGTTTTTTTGACCAATTAATAGAGAACACTATGGCCTCTAGTCCTAAAGTAAGGTTTGGAGGTTTATCATGGCTAATTAAAGACTCTTTTTGACTTTTAGATCAGTAGGCCAAAGGTAAATGTCAGAGTTGCACTTTTAGTAAATTCCTTGTCTTATCAATAACTTTAAAAGTAATAGGGTTAAGTTTATGAATCTATGCAGGCACATTGTCCTTGGCCTGTAAGAATCCCCTATTGATTTTGAGGTCATTAGGTCAATGTAATAGTGATACAAGAAATACTTCTCTAAGTCAAGAGTTTATCCCAGGTCATAAATTAATGAAACTCATTAGTTATAATTCATTATTATAAACATGTATATTACTTAGTATATATATATATATATATATATATATATATATATATATATATATATATATATATATATATATATATAAATAGAGAGATATGATAACAGAGAACAAACTCTATATATGTGAATGTTGAGCTTGTTTCAATGTGTAGTGCAGTTTGTGACTGTATATAAAGCTGTTCTGAAACCATCATGTTTTGTGATGGTGGATGAGCAGTGGCTATGCTTTCATGACTGTACTGCTAGGCGCTGTGCCGTAATTGGACTGGCATATCGATGTGGTGGTATGTGTGTATATATTCCTCTCATTTCTATATATATATATATATATATATATATATATATATATATATATATATATATATATATATATATATATATATATATATATTGTATATGTATGTTAATATGCCACTGTGGCAGGTGAATGAATTGGGTTGGGATCATAAGTGTCCTATGGACACATAACTAGTTCATAAAGAAATATGCTAAACATGTTTCATAATATTCTAGGAGAAAGAAAATCTAAGAAGAAAAGTAAGTATGAATCAAAAGCGGAAGAAAAGTGCAAAGATCACTTTTTGTTTAGTTTTAGTTCAAGTTTTGAAATTGTTTGGATATTGTTTTGGATATTTGCTTGCAAGTACATGTATAAATGTAATCAACGGCAATTGTTAGTCACTACAACTTTGTTGGCTTATGTAATGCTTGCTATTTAAACAGTTAATTTGCATTTTGAACCTTATTTTGTGTTTAGATAACCATTTAACATAATAACAAAAAGTTTTTTCTAAAACAAGAAGAAAGTTAAAAAAAAAATATTCAATTTGGTGAATTATGCAAAAAGTGCACTATTGAAGATGAATGTCATTTTACCCATAATGAGTAAGCTAATAGACTTGCAAATGTCTTATAAGTTAATTATTACTGACAAATGTCAAATTAGTTGCCAATTAATACTGCATCTGATTTAGATAATTATGGAGTAATGTTTAATAAATGAATTAGAACATTGATATATTTAGTGCTTTCACTTCTTACCATTAAGAGCTGTAGTAGCAATTTCTGCAATATTTGGAATGTCTATCCTGGCTAAAAATGTTATCAGCATCATAATCCTTACCATGCTTAATATCTTAAATGGACTTATCCATGTTTCAGTCTGGACAAAACCATTCATCATTTTCAGGGTACTGCGTTAATTTTAAATTAAGTACTAGTTGACTGAATAGCAAACAGGGCAGACCATAATCAGTCGGCACAGTTGTTGCGACTGATCTTGCTCTGCACTGGAAGCATGAGTAGATTTAAGATATACTATGCTCATCCTTGCGTAAACTATTTTTATGCTAGAAGTTTATTGAAATCTATGTAATTCTAACCGTTTATGTTCAATTTGAATAAAAGAATGAATAAATTATGTATTGGAAGCTGTGTTCCTCATTACAGGCAAATTAAATTGGTCTTTTCTTAAAAAATGCCAGTTTTTTAATGATACAATATATTCATATCGTAACAACCTATAGTGTGTAGAATTTTAAACACACCATAACTACTTCGTGTGAATTAAACCATGTTTATTTCATATTTACAAGGAGACTGTGTAGGAATTATAAATGTTTTCAAATATAATATAGAGCATAGTATATCTTTAAGTTTTGACCAACAGGCTTAAAGGGTTCATGAAACTTACAATGCATTGTATCAAAGTGTAGGCCTCACAAATCAATATTCCTTAGTAATAAGATTTAGTGTCAGTGATGAAAGCAATTGTATGAAAATCTTAGCTGACTTTTTTTGGACCAAGTACATTTGTACAGAAGTGCACTGTTCATTTGTATATTTGTAGAAATTAACATTCTTTAAGTTATTGATAAGTCTGTTTAAACAGTAGCTATATCCAGTAATCTTCATTTTCATTTAGTTTATTATACCCCCGAAACAAAATTTTTGGAGGGGGGGGGGGGCGTTTATAGGAGTCACTCGGTGGTCGGTCAGTAGGTCCAGCCGTCCGTTGCATTTTCCTTGTCCGGAGCATAACTTGAAGACTAATGGTTGGAATTCAATACAACTTCATAAAATGGTCAAGCACAATAAGAGAAAGTGCAGTGCACAAGAACCATAACTCTATCTAAAGTATGTACATAGTTATTGCCCATTGTTTCTTTTCCATTGCTTTTTTTGTCCGGAGCATAACTTGAAGACTAATGGTTGGAATTCAGTACAACTTAATACAATGATCAAGGACATTGTGAGGAAGTGCAGTGCACAAGAACCATAACTCCATCTTTACTAATAACAGAGTTATTGCCCTTTGTTACTTTTCCTTTTCCGTAGCATAACTTGAAAACTACTAGTTGGAATTCAATACAACTTCATTCAGTCATCAAGCACATTAAGAGGAAGTGCAGTGCACAAGAACCATAATTCTGTCCAGAGTTATTATAGAGTTCTTGCCCTTTGTTACTTTTCCATTGCTTTTTTCTTGTCCAGAGCATGACTTGAAAACTACTAGTTGGAATTCAATACAATTTCATACAATGGTCAAGTATATTGAGAGGAAGTGCAGTGCACAGAAACCATAACTCTTTCCTGACTCATTTAAAGTTTTTGCCCTTTTTTTGTCCAGTGCATAACTTGACAATAATGGTTAGAATTCAAAGACACTTCATACAATGGTCAAGGGCAGTGAGATGGAGTGCAGTGCACAAGAACCATAACTCTATTTTGACTTATTACAGTTATTGTCCTTTGTTACTTTTTTGTCCAGTGCATAACTTGAAAACTAGTTGTTGAGATTCAATACAACTTCATACAATAATTAAGCACAATGAGAGGAAGTGTAGCGGCAAAAACCATAACTCCATCTTCAGTATTTGTAGAGTTATTGCTCTTTGTTCTGTTCCTTTTTCTCAGGTGCATAACTTAAAAACTAATGTTTAGAATTCAATGAAACTTCATTCAATGCTCAAGCACAATGAGAGGAAGTGCAGTGCTCAAGAAGCGTAAACTCTTTTTGGACTTATTACAAAGTAATTCAAAAAAACTTCATCTATGGTCAACGACATTCCACAAAGAAATGCAACATACAAAAACCGCAACTATCTTTAATTGCCCACAACCATAACTGTATTTCAGTTCTTTTGCAAGGTATTCTGTTACTAGTAACTTTCTCATTTCCGAAGCAGTCTTGTGGGGTATTAATCACATTTAGTGATAGTTCTAGTTAAAATTGTTTTAGGGTTATTCCTTTTTCTTTTTATTCAAATTTTAAGTGCTGTTTTAAGGAAGTAGTTAGATATAAAATGTTCACCTAATAATAATCTATATACTGTGCACATTCTTTTTCTTTCTTTTTTTTTTTTTTTTTTTTTTTGCAACTAGTGTCACTTTGAAATTATGAAATGGTGTTAATGTGTGAATGATACAAGTGTGTTGGTGATTTTTTTTATATTAAATTATGTTGGTTCATTGTTGTTATTGATATGAATGTTGTTTTCATTAACGTTATGATGTTAATGCACAAAAAATTCCCAATAAGAAGTTTAATCTTAAGTCTGAAACAGTTAAGACGTATGCTTATCACATTTTGCTTGAATATTGTTTCTTCTATTTTTTAGTTGTATTTTGATTGAGTTCCATTAAATTTTAATGAACAAACACATGACTAATCTTTGTGAAAATCAGTGGCAAAACTGTTGCCAGCAGTTATAAAATGTGTGTTGTTGATGATTTAAATTGTTTGTTTTTTTCCATTAATTGACACATTCTGTTTTCTGAACAAAGCATTATATTAAATCTTTCATTGATACAGAAATAGCAATAACTTATAAAATACCTGTTTCATTTTTTGAACTTTTTGATTTATTCACAAAATATTGTTATAAATAAACCAGTGTTTTGAGAAGACAAACCTTTGCCTTAAAATAAGTGGTTGAAATTATATTATGTCCAATGAGATTTTCTATTTTTTCAAATTTTTCGCTACATTTAAATTTTAATTAATTAAATCAGCACCAAATTGCCATTAAATACTATCCCATTAAATCAGGGTATAATATTATTACTTGTACACTATAAAGATTTAGAAAAAAATTACTTTAGAGAAAAGAAAGCTAGAAATAAAAAAATAAAATAAACATAATTCCAAACACTTATTACTATACTTAATGCAGTTTGGGTTCAAACGTTGTTTCTGTGAGCAAGAATCTTTACACTCTTGCTTAGTACTGGTTTGTCCCAGGAACAAATTTGACAGTGCTCAATAAGCTTATAGCTTCCATCACTATCAAAACTAAAATAAATTTGTATATACTAAGCTAAGAGTTCTTCGAAAAGTTAAGACTAAGCTGATTTCTATATAAATTTAACTTCCATAGAGCAGCACAGGAAATTGCTCTGTAGGGGTTGTACTGTAATACAGTAATACGTTTAATGCTGTTATTTCAAGTGGCATTGATTAAAACATATTTATTTAAGCTCGATTGCGGAACAAGTTATTTCAACTTATATTAATCACTTTCCAGTCAGCTTCCTGGTGAAGTACTGGTGTCATATGGTCTTGACCCAATAAGGGCTCGAACCCATGATCCCTGGGTTTAGAGGCAGACACCTTAACCATTAGGCCACTGCTCCCGTCATCAAGTGGCATTAATGGCTTTTCGTTGCGGAAAGAATGAAACCAGAAAAATATTTCAGGTTTGACTGATCAATTTAAGTAATAATGTATTGATTTTTTTGCAACAATGGATTGTTTCGATTCAAAGTAGGGCTTTATTTTTATTGGACAAATTTAAGAGCGATTATCAAGTTATTTGACGGCTGTGTTATTAAATATTAATCTTAAATTAATAAAACTGAAAAGCAAAGATATTCATTGTTTAACGGTGTTAACAATTATTTTTCTTTGTTATTTTAGAGAAGAGAAAGCTAGAAATCAAGGCTGGTGAGGAACGAGCCAAAGTTCGTGAAATGTTACTGCGTGGGATAAATTGTCACTTTAGGTCTCGAACATCACCATATCCTGGGTCACTTATTTCAAGGTTTCCTGTTCCAGATGATAAAGTATCTTGGGAGGTTGGTACTTTTTCCCCCTCTATTTTTTACGAAGTTTTTAGTTTCAATTGCTCGTTAGAATCATTTGATAGTTTTGCTTGTGGAGGTTAATCCTCTTGTGGTTGAGTAAGAGGATGCTTTTTACCATTCAGACATCATAATTGCAGCCACAGTTTTTAACCGCCTCCATGGTGGAGGGGTTAGAGTCGATGACTTCTAATCCTGTTACCTCTCTGGCGTGGGTTCGATCCCCGGGAGATGCTTTGGTAGTTCAGCACGGAGGAAGGTAGTCTAGTACTGGTGTAACTCTCCAGGAACGATGGTTAGGAAAGTACCCGCCTATATGACTGAAATACTGTTGGGAAAAGGCGTAAAAATGAAACAAACAAAAGCCACCGTTTATCCCTGATTGTCAGAGGCGACTAAATGGGTTTGAATTACTTGAGTCTATGCATCTCTTAGCTCCAGCATGTGAGGTGGTTTTGACCCCTTGTGTTGCTTAAAATTTGTAACACCCAACTGGTCAGTCATAATCATTCTTCATGTGTCAGCGCCAATATGACCAAATTGTGTTGGTGTGCCATAAAACCAAACAAAAAAGCCTTGATGGACCATCAGTGTTTTGTTTTATGCAGGAGTGGATAACACTGACTTTCCACAAACTGGATTGAAAGCTTTTTAAGTTGATGAAATTTTGCAGGATCTGAATCCGCAGCAGTGAATCAATGACTGTTAATTGTAAGTCAGCATGTTAAACGATTTTGCAATGAAGATCCTTTGAGTGTTAATAAAATTCTCATTGATAGATAGCAAATGAATTTTAATGTTAAGTCTGTGTGTTTAAGCATGTTTGACTTGATGATTTGATTTGTAAATATAGTCATGTGAATGTGAACTGTGTAGATAGATTTAAAAGTTTCTTGAATTTGGTTTTAAAATGATTATTTGAGCCGCGCCATGACAAAACCAACATAATGCGTTTGCGACCAGCATGGATCCAGACCAGCATGCGCATCTGCGCAGTCTGATCAGGATCCATGCTGTTTACTAACAAACCCTATTACAAGTAGAGAAACTGACAGCGAACAGTGTGGATCCTGATCAGACTGCACGAATGCGCAGGCTGGTCTGGATCCATGTTGGTCGCTAACGCACTATGTTAGTTTTGTCATGGTGTGGCACATTTATAATTGAATTTCTTGAGGTCCTAAAGCTTTTGGATAAGCATTTGTTTGTTTTCAAAGTGACTTTAAATGAAGGTTTTCTGCCTTTTAGAGGAAGTGGCATAAAGTGATTTTTAATTTTTTATGAAACTTTGGATATTTTCAGACTGAGTACCTAGAATACTCCCCAAGTGCCTACACAGCTCAGGAACTAGAATTAAGGCCAGAGTGGGCCGACATAGATATATTTCAAATGTAAGTTTTTTCATGTTTTTGGAAACTAAGGGGACAATATCTTTAAACTTTAAATTACTCCTTTATTTAACTCACCCTTGTTTCCAACCAAGACTTTTTCTACACAATGAAGCTTTGCTGAAAGCTAGATTAGCTGTTCCGCACGCATATGTGCCTGGCTCATCTGTTTATTCCTGAAATATTTGACGGATGGTTGACTGAAGTTATATCCAACTCTAGAACTGTAAAGTGACCGCTGCAGTGTTTTCCATGCTTACCAGCATCACTTTTCATCTGAGGTACAATATCTGGAAAAAAATATTTAAACAAAAACAAAAAACAACAATTCTGTTAATGCATGACTGTTTTCTTCTCAAGTAATGTACATCTGCATAGATAGTGTTTATGCAAGATTACTCATTATTTGTCAAAGAGGTTTTAACAATATAACTCTTAAGTTAATATTTACTGATTCATTAGGGTTCATAATCCTTAAAGAGTTATAAGCTTGTGAAATGTACATCCTGTTTATATTTTTCATGACATATGTTTTAGGACTCCACAACAAAGGGAGGCTGCTATTACCTCCTTCAATGCAGTTGATGGGGAGAAACAAGTGGACAGGATGAGTTTTCTTGGTGAATATGTTGTACAGAATGGTTTACCCTTGAACCCAAAAGGTCGCACAGGTCTCCAGAGTCGGGGACTTCTAGGACGATGGGGTCCTAACCACGCTGGGGATCCTGTTGTTACTCGGTAAATATGTCAATTCAACCTAACAACAGTTAAATTAAGAGTAAGACTAAAAAAGCATTGGAGCACCAACACACTAAATACCGTATTCCGGTACATACCGGACAAGACGCTTGAATGATTAAATACTAAACTATCGTAGAAGAAAGAGGAGGTATATTGTTTTGCTGATGTAGGTCTGTCGGTCCGTCAGTCTGTAGGTCTCTCCGTCGGTAGACCACATGGTTTCTGTTGATTATCTTGAAAACTGTTTAGTACAAAGTCTTCATAGTTCACAAACTGATTCGATATAACTAGTAGATGACCCCTAATGATATTGGGGTCACTAGGTCAAAGGTCAATGTCATAGGGGCCTTAAATGTCAGAATGGTTCCCACTGATTATCTTAAAAACTATGCAACACAAAGTCTCATATTTCACAAAGTGATTGGTCATAACTAGAAGATGACCCCTATTGATTTTGGGGTCACGAGTCAAAGGTCAAGTTCACAGGGGTCTTTAATATCAGAATGGTTTCTGCTCATTATCTTGGTTACTATTTATCACAAAGTCTTAATATTTCACATATTGAATGGTCATAACTAGCAGATGACCCCTTTTAATTTTGGGGTCACTAAGTCAAAGGTCAAGGTCACAGGGTCCTTGAATGGTAGTATGATTTCCGTTGCTTATCTTGGTTACTATTTATCACAAAGTCTCATATTTCACATATTGATTGGTTATACAAATTTAACTAGTAGATGACCCCTATTAATTTTGGGGTCACCAGGTCAAAAGTAATGTCACAGGGTCCTTGAATTGTAGTATGATTTTAGCTCATTATCTTGAAAGCTTATTATCACAAAGTCTTCATATTTCACAATAGTGATTGGTCATAACTACAAGATGACCCCTATTACTTTCAGGTTCACTAGTTCAAAGGTCAAGGTCACAGGGGCTTTAAATTTTGGAATGGTTTCCACTTATTTTCTTGACAAAGTCTTCATATTTCTCATACTGATTGGTCATAACTAGTAAGTGACCCCTTTTGAATTTGGGGTCACTAGGTCAAAGGTCAAGGTCCCAGGGTGCTTGAATGTTAGTATGGTTCCGCTCATTATCTTGAAAGCTATTTATTGCAAAGTGTTTTTATTTCTAATATTGATTGGTCATAACTATTAGATGACCCCAATTGATTTTTGGTCTCTAGTTCAAAGGTCAAGGTCACAGGGGTCTTAAATGTCAGAATGGTTTCCGCTCATTATTTTGAAAACCATAACAATGTCTTTATTATATTTTTTTTTTCCATAACTGAACGCTTCCATGTATCCATTTATGGCAAATTTCTATAACAAAATAACCAATAATGTGAGTCAAGGGCTAGAAAGGGGGGCATATGTGTCGTTCAACATTTCTTGTTTACTATATGTTTCTTTAATTATCAGATGGAAAAAGAATGCAGATGGGAGCAAAGAAATGAAGGAGGGTAAACCAGTGTTTGAGTTTGTAGCCGTGCTCCGTGCCGACAACCAGATGTGTGCTCTTCCAGGGGTATGTCACCTGTTTTCTTATACAAAGCTAAGGAAGGCTGATTGGCTGGTTTCCGTTGCTTGCATAAGGAGGTTACACAGCCAAAAATGGGGGAGGGAGATTTCATTCAAAATGTTTGTTTTCTGAAAATACAAAGCCAACTATAGTCGTAGTAACTACTATCGGCAAGGCCATGTGTTTTATTGAGACAATGCTTCAGGGGCTAAGCTGTAAACATGCTAATGATCTTTAATAATCCCAAATGTATTGTACATTGACGTTTTTTATTGGTAAATTAGATTGGATCTTGAAAAATATAGGGAATTTTGATGTCATTGGGTGGGGGGATGGGTGGGGAATGGGTAGGGTGGGGAATCCTGGGACAATGTGAAAAAAACAGAAGGATTTTATATACAATTAGGGGGATATGATATATTATATGCTATACAATACAGAAATAAAATGTGGCAGATATTTTTGGAAAAGTTTTCCGACTACATTTATACAGCTAAATAAATATGATTATTACATATATTTTCAGGCAATTTTACCACCAGGAGCTAAGCCAGCAGACCATTTGCAGGCTGATTTCACTGATAAAGCCATGGGATCTCTAGAAGGTTCTAGTAATGAAAAGGTTGTAAGAAAGAAATTGAACAAAATTTGGAAGAAAGGAGTAAAAGTATGTACTCATTTATACATTTTCTTCTGTTTTAAGTGACTGTGAATTAACTAAATTTCATGGCATGGATTTCTGAGTATTTCATGATTTTAGCTTAAAAGGATTTTTGGGGTTCTTAACTTAAAAGATTTGTCTATTTTTGCAAAGTTGTAAAACACAAATATCGTATTGCAAAAACAGCAAGCGAAATAAAAAAAATTAGGATGGCGTAATGAAATTTTGTTGGATCTTAAATTCATGGATTGACCTACATGTATCCACAAAAATTAGTACCCACAAAGTATAATGATTTTGCAGTATTTCAGCTTTGTATATTTTTGAATTGTCTTTCAAGTAATAATGCCTGAAAAAAATTTTTTGAGAATTTAATCAGTACATAGTTTTTAACAGAATCTCTGTACAATTTTATTTGCGTGCTACCTTTACAATATTTCCATTACCAAACATGAATAAGATTCATGATTTTTATGTATAACATATTTATAGAAAAATAAGGATTATTCTACTATTCTAAACATGTATATGAAAATGTTTGTTTTTAGAGTTTTTTTGTAGATTATATAGTTATTAACATAAAAGGTCACAATGATTGTTACTGATATTTCATTGGTTTCTATTTTTAGATATATGAAGGTTATGCAGATGACCCTCGTAACACAGACAACGCATGGATTGAAACAACAGCAATTAGTTACCATGACGAGGATGGGGCGGCATTCTCTCAATGCAACCTACGGGTAAGATACTCTTACTCTTAGATTCAAACATTATTCATGCATTTTCAAACAAACTGATACTACAACTTTCATAACTCTAGCCTGCGTTAAGTTAAAATCATACCCCTTGAAAAACAGTGGCATCTCAGGCAGGTTTAAGTTTTGCATCCGTTACAATTGCATCAGCTCTTAACTTAAGTTTTTGCACATACTTAAGATCATGATTGCAGGTCACCATTTGTAATAGCATAGCATAGCCATAGCACCTTTATAACATTTTTATACCCCCGCTCGACGAAGTTGTAAGGGGGGTATACCGGGGTTTTCCTTGTCCGCCCAATAACTTAAGATGCCTTTGACTCACAGTCTTCATATTTGGCATGGAGTAGATGAACCCTATCATGACTAGTAGATGAACCCTATAGTTTTGAAGTTACTGGGTCAAATGTCAAGGTCACTGGGGCCTTGACTAAAATAAGCTTGTCCACCAAAAACTTAAGAATCCTTTGACCAACAGTCTTCATATTTGGCATGGAGGTTAGCTTTTAAGCTCAATCCTTGGACCCCTTCTCTTTTTAATTCATGTAAATGATATGTCAGCTGTGGTCAAAAATAAATTGCTTTTGTATGCTGATGATTCTGGTAAAAGTTTATCTGTTGTTGAAAAGGCATTGACAGATGATATGGACAGATGATATGGAACTGGTCAGCCAATGGTTAGTGGAAAACCGAGTCAATTTTATTTGGGTCCATGTCACAATCTAACCTGCATATAACCTGTTCTGGTACATCAATTGAATCAACTTCATCTATCAAGTATCTTGGGATTACTATAGACCAAACTCTGTCATTTTGCTCCATGGCCGAGTCTGTTCTTAAGAAGGCCAACTCTCAGTTAAAATTTCTTTACCGCAAGAAAGAGTTTCTTACTCAGCATACCAAGAAACTTTTGGTTATGTCTCTTATTCAGTGTCACTATGATTACGCATGCTCTGTTTGGTATAATAGCTTGACACAGTTTTTTAAAAATAAGTTACAAACTTGTCAAAATAAAATAATGAGATTTGTACTTGACTTGGATTCCAGAGCCCATATTGACCCATCCCACTTTAAATCCCTTAACTGGTTACCGGTCCACAGAAGAGTGGAACACATAATGTTGTGTCATGTTTTTAAGATAAAAAATGGCCTGTCTCCGGATAACATGTCTGAACACTTTATTTTGCAAGATTCCGTACACAATTATAGTACAAGACTTAGTCAAACGGGTGGGTATTGTCTACCTAAGGTCAAAAGTCAGAGTTCTAAATCCTTTGCGTTCTCTGGTATTAAATTATGGAATGATTTACCTGTAGAGTTAACGGAGATCAACAGATTACAAAGTTTTAAGGTTGCCATCAAAAGTCATCTTATGAACAGTATTTAACTTTTTTACTATGTTTTTACATATTTCGGCTCAGGATTTTAAATTGTGGGCTAATTATCTTTTTACAATTTAAGTAATGTGTTTTAAATTCCTAGCTGTAAACAGGAGTATCATTAACCCAAGATTTGACTGTGATATACATTTCAATGATTTATTAGTCTCTATAAACATGATTATATTTAGGTCTGCCTCTGTATGTCATGCCGCCAATACAAAGGACCATTATGGAAATAAGAGCTGTTTTGCCCTTTTTTGTGTTATCCTTGGTTTTGGTGAGCATGTCATAGTTTTCTCGTTTATGATATAGTATTTAATAATGCTCATTATTTTATCCTATGTTATATTGTCAACTATGTATATGCTTCCTTTGCCGAAATAAATCGATCTATCTATCATGATTAGTAGGTGACCCCTTTTGATTTTGAGGTCACTGGGTCAAGGGTCAAGGTCTCAGGGATTTTGACTTCAAAAAGTTTGTCAGCCCAATAACTTAACAACATTTTGACCCACAGTCTTCGTATATGGGATTGAGGTTGATTATGACCATAAGGTGACCCCTGTTGATTTTGACTATAAAAAGCTTGTCCTCCCAATTACTTGAGATTCCTTTGACCCACAGTCTTCATATTTGGCATGGAGGTTAGTCATGTTTAAAAAATGACCACTTTTGATTTTGAGGTCACTGGGTCAAAAACATTTCAAATGTCAAGGAACCTTATGTTTTTTTGTAATATATCTGTTTGTTATATAATTTCCAGGCTGGTGAGAGGGCGGAGCTAGTCACATGGTTAACCGGGTCACACAATGTGACCTTGCATGGATCACATTTGTATCTAGTAAAACTCGCTGCAGAAAGACTTGGTGCTTATTTCTAAATCACACTTTTAAGACTTACAAACTTAACATAGTTATGTCATAGATAGGAAAATAAAAAAAAAACTACATCATTCATAAGTGCAAAGTTGAAGGTATTTACAGTGTTTTTGGAATTAATACAGAAGTAAGAAAAATGTAAGAGGAAAGGTAGATGAAGGCAGGGTAACAATGTTGTAATATAGTCTTGTGCAGATCTGTGATATGGCTAATTAAAATATGCAGCTATTTGTAAACTACTATGTGGGAAATATTTTCTTGTATGAAATATTTTAGCTAGTTATTTTATTTTACTTTTTTTAAAAAAGGAATGTCAGTTATTTTTTTATATATTTTTTTTAATTTATTGGCTAGTTTTTGTTAAAATTATAACCATGTTATTTTCATAAGAGTACTCATCTTTTGTACTTAATGTTTTTAACTTATTTTGATATACAGAAAAATATATATTTTTTTGTTTATTTACTATTTAATTTTGACAGCTTTGGAAAATATTTGTTAGTATAATTATTCAAGTGTCCAAAAGTTTGATTTATTTTTTTCTTACAAAAATTTACTTTTATTACAAAATAAAACATTTTTCAGTATAACACAGGGTACTGTAATTCTATGCATCTGTTTAATCAAGTGCATAAGCAAAACAAGAATTATATTGTACATGTATATTTGTACAAGCTCATCCAATCAAAATGTACTTACAATCTTAGTTTTTCCATACCTGTATGTTCAAATTATTCACGTTTTGTTACTATTAATCCTAGCCTTTCAAATTTCTACGTCATTTAATTATCTGTTAGACTTGTGAATTTTGTAAAATAATTATTTCTATGTCCCTACATCAGTTGATGTGTGGTGGCATATTCTTATGTCCCTGCATCAATTGATGAATGGGGGCATATTCCAATGTCCTTGTTTCAGTTGATGAGTGGGGTCATATTCCTATGTTTCTGCATCAATTGATGAGTGGGGGCATATTTCTAAGTACCTGTATCAATTGATGAGTGGGGAAATTATTCCTATGTCTCTGTATCAGTTGATGAGTGGGGGCAAATTCCTGTTTCCCTTTATCAATTCATGAGTGGGAGAATATTCCTATGTCCCTGCATCAATTAATGAGTGGGGCATATTCCTATGTCCTTGTATCAATTGATGAGTGGGGGCATTTTCCTATGTCCCTTTATCACTTGATGAGCCTGGGGCATACTATGTTAGTCCTGATTCTATATCTATAAGCCCTGGTTGTAAATAAACCATGGTCAGCACAAAATTAAAGAGCTTTCATTTTAAACACAGCATACTTTATGGTTTCGTGATGTTGACCATTAACACTTACCTCAAAATAACACAGACTTTGAAATTGAATTTTTCAAAACTCTTTGAAATTGTTGTATATATTTACAGGTTTGGCATGTGTTTTATGAACTCATTTTGTTAAATTTAATGAAATAATAACCTATGCTATACAGCTACATGTATGTAATGTCAATGAAAATGATGTAAATGTGCTGAAGAAAAAAGAAATGAAAAACATTTCCAATGTATATATTTAACCCTTTCACTGCCATAGAGACGGCTTAAGCCGTCCCCGTTATTTTCGGCGTATTTGCCATATGGACGGCTTTAGCCGTTTCTATAATAATAATAGTAATAATAATAAATTAATAATAATAATAATAAAAATAATAATAAATTTAAAGAAAATTATACCATCGACAATAATTATTATTATACTAACAATTTTGGAAACATATATACTTATTATAATACTAATAACAAATAGTAATAATTATATTAACTAATAATATAGTAATTTCTTAGAAAATCCTCTGGCAAATAGGTGAACAATAAAACAATAACCCTCTGGCAGCGAAAGGGTTAAAGTGACATTATTCTCATATTTTTGTTAATTTTAGCTGAATTAGTAATTCAGTTCAAAATGAGTCTATTAATAGTGATTGACCAAAAATTGATATTGAAAAATGTTTATGATAAAATATAAAACTACTTAAATTATAAAAAAGACTACCCCCAATCTTTTTAAAAATTCAACAATATCAATAAATTCTGATCGATATTAATATAAATTACCATGGGTCACTTGGGTCATTATTTATTTTACATGGTAAAATGTAGATTTAACACAATTATGGAAAAAAGGTAAAGATATTTTGACTTGCCAGAACAGAAGAGAAGAGAACAACACTTTATTAACTCTAGTTACATGCAGCAACACAAGGGTATAAAACGCATTGTATATATATATATATGGAACGCCATATCTGCCTCATGTTGTTACATTTCGTTTTATTTTTCCCTAAAAGCCTCTTATTATGTATAATAGAAGTATTGACTTGCCAACATTTTATGGGAACCTGTCTTAACGAAGTCTTAATAGGTCAAATATTCATTTTATCTTGTCAAAACGTAGTGCTGACTTGTCTAAACACTGTCTTATTATTTCAAAACGTCATGTTATCATGTGCAAGCCGGTGTTAACATGCCTAATGGAAGTCGTCTTAATATGTCTAACATGCACGCCGTCTTTTCGAATTAAGATTTCATTATGTCTGAAGAAAGACTTATTTAAATGTGGTGTTGAATTGTCTTGGTTTTGTCTTATCGTGTGAAACAGTAGTGTTATCTTGTCGGAAGTTGGTGTCATCTTGTCCAAATGTGATCCTGGTATGTTATGACACTGTTGAATTATGTTATACTGTCGTTTTGTCTTGTCTAAATGTGATATTGACTTGTCTATACACCGTCACATTTTGTCAGACTGCCATGTCATTGTGTTCAAATTCGGTGTTATCTTGCTTAAAGAATGTCTTTTATGTCAAAATAGCATGCTGTCTGTCCAATTATGCTGGTAATTTGTCTATAAATTGTCTTATTAAAGTATGTGAAACAGTAGTGTTATCTTGTCGGAACTTGGCGACAACTTGTCAAACTCATGTCTTATTATGTCGGCTAATAGTGATATCTTGTTTAACCGTTATATTAACCTGGCTGAGTGTTGTCCTGTTTTGTCAAACTGTTATGTTGCTTTGTATGAGGTGGTTTAATTCTGTCTTATTGTGCCAAAACATCATGCTTTCTTGTCTAAAACTGTTGTTATTCTGTCTAAAAACATACTTATTAAGTGAAATACTAAATAAATTTAATGTTGACTTGCCATAAATTTTGTGTGTTTGTGTAAACATTATTTTATTATGTCAAACAGTATTGTTGACTTGTCGAATAATGGTATTGACATGTCTAAACACTGCCTTTTTTTCTCAGATCACCATGCTATTTTATCCAAACTTTATTTTAATCGGCCTAAACACCGTCTTATTATGTGAAATAATGGTGGTATCTATACAAGTTATTGTTATGAACTGTTAAAACGCTATTTTAATTTGTCAAACTGTCATGCTGTTATGTCCAAATGCAGATTTAACTTGTCTTTATTCGTCTTATTATGTCAAATAGTCATATCATCTTGTCGAAACGTGGTGATGGCTGGTCTAAAATTACTTTAATCTTTTTGTCAAAGTGTCATTTTATTTTGTCAAGGTTAGGTGTTATTTTACTAAACATCGTCCTCTTATGGCGAAGTATCATTTTTCCTTTTCAAATGTGGTGTTTACTTGTTGAAACACAGTATCATTATGTAATACAGTGGTGTCGACTTGCCAATTTATTACACGAACTTTTCTAAATACCGTCTCATTATGTCAGATAATCGTGTTATCCTGTCCAGATGCGATGTTGTCCAAATTAAGTATCACGTGACTAGAGCCCACGCGGAGCGTGAAAAGATAGAGCGAAAAAGATAACGGGGCAGTTTAGCAAAATCAGACAGCGCTTTCTCAAGACCGAACTAAAGTTGAACAAAATTACACAAATATTACACATAATAAGACTGTTTTTGTTTTTTACAAGAAAACATCAAATTTTGACAATATATAACACTTCTGTTTTACATTTAAAGAAAGAGTTTAGACAAGTCATTACCACATTTCGACAAGATATCGCAATTTTTTGACTTTATAAGACTGAGTTTTAACAAGTCAAAACCGCTTTTTGACAAAATAGCATACAGTTTATCATAATAAGGCATGATTTAGCCCAGGCAACACCCTAATTCGGCAAGATAATTCGAATATTTGATATAAAAAGACAATTCAGTAGTGTACGTTGGCAAATTAACACAGTTGTTTGACACAATAAGACAATGTTAAGGCATTTAAACACCGTATTTTGACAAAATAACATGGCAGTTTGATAAAAATAAAGCTGTGCAATTACAAGTCAACACCGAATTTCGACAAGAGAACACTGCTGTTTCAAATGATCAGACAGTCTTTTGACAAAACAGCTCCACAATATGACCAAATATCGCGACTAGTTGACATAATATGACACATTTCAGACAAGCCAAAACGACATTTTGACATGATAACACTACTGTTTGAAATAATTAAACAATGTTAACACAAGTCAACATCATATTTTAAAGAGATAAGACTACTGTTACGCATAATGAGGAAATGTTTAGACAAGACGACAAGTAACAATGACATTACAACACTTCTATTTGACATGATAAGAACAGAACAGAACAGATACTTTATTAAGATTTGTACATAGTACATCATCTATAATACAATAATATTTACAAGCATAACGTCAATATAATGGTAATAGCAAGTATGACATTTTCAAAATTCTTAATCTTAATTTATCTAGTAACAAGAAAATGAAATAATAAATATGTATACTACAAATTAAAAAAGTAAAGACATACAAACAGAAGAATGAGCAATAATTATGTTTAACGCTCAACATTTAACAGTGTGTTAAGACGCTTTCTTGGCAAGATAAAAAGAAATCTAATAACATGAGGCAGCTATGGCGTTCCATATATATATATTAAGTGGCATGGCAACTGAACATCTGAAAAAAGTATGTCTACCAATATTTTTATTATTTGGACATTATATTATAAAAGGGAGTGAGCTTTACTAGTACGCTCACCAATATCACTTTGATGAGCAAAATGATACTTTAATTTGTCATCCATATGTCATACAGGACTATTCTAAGCCCACTTTTACCTGTACTTAATTTTCTATTTTAACATGTTTCGAATTTCGATGCCATAGCTCCTAGATTTGTACAGCTAATAAAAGTGAACTTTTGTTTTTTGAAATATTGAGAAAGGAAATTGTGTTTGTGACAGTTGTTGTATTATAATTTTAAGAACGATTCTGTGATATTGACATGGAACACAAATAAATAAATAATGCAAATAAAATTGGCAGAATTTTTTAAATGTTTTTGTTTTCTATGTCAAGCAGAAAATATTATATTGACCGACTTTATCGAGGTTCAAAATAACAAACAGTAATGGTCGATGATTTTAATCATGCAGGCCCTTTCAAACACTGCCTAAAATACATTTTGTACATTGTCTTTTTATTATAATAGAATTATTATGGAAATAAAACAAAAAATAAAAACAAAATCCAGCAGGTGAGGGGGTTTGGACTCCAGGTGTTGCTTTAAGTTTGTAACACCTGAAGTAAACCAAACTCATCCTTCCTGTTTCGGAGCCATATGACCTAGACTGTTTTGTTGCTCCGTAAAACCAAACAAAAACCTCAGTGCTGGTATAAACAGTGTCCATCCGTCGAATGGTCATCACTCAAATGATAATTTCTATGTCGTTGCCTCAAATAGAATGCAGCAAATCATTGTTTTCTTTGTATTTACCTCAAATGAACCTCCATCGTATCATTATTTCTATGAATTCTTGGCCTTAGATGGACATCAGACAATCTAGTCGTCCTATGTCATGGCCTCAAATGGACCACCCTCGTATCATTATTTCTATGAATTCTTGGCCTTCTAATATTGATAGGTCATAACTATTAGATGACTGCAATTGATTTTTGGTCTCTAGTTCAAAGGTCAAGGTCACATGGGTCTTAAATTTTAGAATGGTTTCCGCTCATTATCTTTAAAACTATCACAAATTCTTCATTGTTTTTCTTTTTCTATAACTGAACGCTTCCATGTACCCATTTATGGCAAGTTTCTATAACAAAATAACCAATAATGTGAGTCAAGGGCTAGAAAGGGGAGCATATGTGTCGTACGATATTTCTTGTTTACTATTTGTTTCTTTAATTATCAGATGAAAAAAGAATGCAGATGGGAGCAAAGTACTGAAAAAGAGTAAACCAGTGTTTACGGAATACCGTTAGGGCCATCGTGGTTATACGTTAAAATACAGAGGGCGACAATGCGAGAGTGCGACAGTGCGATGACGACAATACGACAGTGCGATGACGACAATGCGACAGTGCGATGACGACAATGCGACAGTGCGATTGCAACAATGCGATAACGCGATAGTACGATGACGCCATCGCACTGTCGCATTGTCGTCATCGCACTGTCGCATTGTCGTACTGTCGTCATCGCATTATCGCACTGTCGCCATCGCATTGTCGCACTGTGGTCATCGCGTTATCGCACTGTCGACTCTCGCCTTCTGGTGGACGGTTCTAGACTGCTGGCGAATACGCTGCCGGTATAGAATATTGGATAATTTTACTTTTGTCAATATTTTTTTTTCTTCTTGTTTTTTTTTTCCTTTTTATTATTTTTTGTTTGTTTCTTTCCTGTATACTAATAATGTTAAAATAAAATTATAAATTAATAATAATAATAATCATTTTATAGATAAATACTTAGAGAGTTATACATAGACGGAAAATGTGAAACTTTAATATCAATGTAATAGAAATATTTCAGATGAAAATGATCTTATGTTGACATTTAAAAGATGCAAAAAAATAAAATCATTGTTGATTACTTACTTATATCAAAAAGACAAACAAATTATATTCATAGATCGTCATCAGTGGTTTTATTGTTTTGCAAGATGTATAATTTATTATATTACTTACATTGTAAATAAAAATACATGTAATTAGAAATTTACGTCAACACATAATTTTGTCTATATATCTAACATAAGTGGTCAACAATTTTCATTTTAAGATTACCTTAACAGCAGATCCTACTATAAGTTAAACTGGTCAGCATATTGTAATATAGCCAAATGATTCCGCTGGTGGACATAGTGAGACAATGTGTTTCAATGTTGTTGTTTTTTGGTTTTTTTTAAAAACACACCTATCCATTATATTTAATCCAGAAAATTTCTTACTGTTTATTTTTGTTGTTCTTGTTGTTGTTTTGTTTAAGGGAGACTTCGCATTACCAACTACCTGCCGGTAGGTAGTGGGGATTAAGAATAACAAACTACCAGTTAGTACGTAGTAGGTTATTTGAATATCCAACAACCATCTGCAAATCAAATTGACGCTTCTTTAGATTTTGATCAATATCTAAGATCGAGCCATTTTTGGTGCCTGGTACACATAGCGCTTTTATATTTCTTAAAGATAGTAAATAAATATGATTAAATAAAAAAAAAGAAATATAAAAAATAAGCGACCTTGAACTTTGACCTTGTGACCCCAAAGTCAATAGGTGTCTTCTATCCAATATGGACAATCATCCTAAGTTTGAACACTATTGGCTAAATAGAAATTAAGTTGTGTTCTAGAAACTGTTTTCAGTTTTAAAGTAATAGTGACCTTGACCTTTGATCTTGTGACCCCAAAATCAATAGGGGTCTTCCCTATAAAGTTCCATTTGGCCCACAATATTCAAACTTTATTGGAGGATTGCTGTCTGAAGGAAGTAATACTTTATTTAATTTATGTAATGTCTTACGAATGCTTCATCCTTACTAAAAAGCACTTTCGGGCATATAATGCTCCGCCTAGCGGTGCTCTTGTTATATATGTTTTACCTTTACATGATATAAACGTGTTTTCACGCCTTTTCACCCTTCCTTTTGATGCCTCAAATAGTGAAAACCATGCCCTATTTATCAGATACATCGGGTTGCAACAGAGGGGTACCCACTTCTGCATGGGGGTTTAAAGGGTGTCGCCGCCCCACTCAACTCCAAGAAAAAAATGGAATTGTGAGAGGCTCAAAATGGCACAAGGTCGATCTAAAGGTAACGTGTAACCAACGCTGAAAGCCCTTCACTCTATCCCGACCCATTGGGAATTTGCAGCTTTGATGAAAAAATTAACTTAATTAATTTTGAAATGTCCCCTCGTTGTCATGGTAACAGGAAATTAAGATACAAATGTTATGGCTCAGTAAACATTTTTGCCAAGTTTGATAAGTATTAATGCATTTTATTCTAGTTTCATAGTTGATTGATTGATTGATTGATTGGGTTTTACGTCGCACCGACACAGTATAGGTCATATGGCGACGTTCCAGCTTTACTGTCAAGATTGAGCTAAAATCACTTTGGCTCTTTTTTTATTTATCATATTTATTTACTATCTTTAAGAAATATAAAAGCGATATGTTCACCAAGCACCAAAAATGGCTCGATCTTAGATATAAGAAGCGTAAATTTGATAGGTAGTTGGTAGTTGGATATTCAAATAACCTACTACGTACTAGCTGGTAGTTGGTTATTCTTAATGCCCCACTACCTACCGGCAGGTAGTTGGTTATTCGAATTTTGCATGTTTCCCTTAAAACAACAACAACAACAAAAATAAACAGTAAGAATTTTTCTGGATTAAGTATAATGAATATATGTGGTTTTTTTTTTAAAAAAAACAACACTGAAACACATTGTCTCACTATGTCCACCAGCGGAATCAGTTGGCTATATTAAAATATGCTGCCCCGTTAAACTTATGTGTTGACGTAAATTTCTAATGACATGTATCTGTATTTACAATGTAACTAATATAATAAATTATACATCTTACAAAACAATAAAACCAATGATGACGATCTATGAATGTAATTTGTTTGTCTTTTTATACAATTTATAAACAATGATTTTATTTATTGTCATATTTTTTTTGCATCTTTTAAATGTCAACATAAGATCATTTTCATCTGAAATATTTCTATTACATTGTATATAAAAGTTTCACACAATTTATTACATTTTCCCTCTATGTATAACTCTTTCAGTATTTATATATAAAATGATTATTATTATTAATTTATGATTTCATGTAAACATTATTAGTATACAGAAGATAAACAAACAAAAAAATAATGAAAAGGAAAAGAAAAAACAAGAAGAAAATGAATTGTTGACAAAAGTAAAATATCCTATATTCTATACCGTCAGCTTATTCGCCAGCAGTTTAGAACCGTCCACCAGAAGGCGATAGTCGATAATGCGATAACGCGATGACCACAGTGCGACAGTGCGATGGCGACAATGCAATAATGCGATGACGACAGTACGACAATGCGACTGTGCGATGACGACAATGCGACAGTGCGATGGCGACAGTGCGATAACACTATCGCTCTGTAGTCATCGTACTATCGCGTTATCGCATTGTCGCCATCGCACTGTCGCATTGTCGTCATCGCACTGTCGTATTGTCATCGCACTGTCGCACTCTCGCATTGTCGCCCTCTGGTTTTAACGTATAACCACGATGGACCTAACGGTATTCCGTAAGTGTTAGAGTTTGTAGCCGTGCTCTGTGCAGACAACCATATGTGGGCTCTTCCAGGGGTATGTTACCTGTTTTCTTATAAAAAGCTTAGGAAGGCTGATTAGCTGATTTCCGTCCGTTGCTTGTATAAGGAGGTCACACAGCCAAAAAAAGGGGGGGGGCAGGTTTAATTCAAAATGTTTGTTTTCTGAAAATACAAAGCCAACTATAGTCGTAGTAACTACTATTGACAAGGCTATGTGTTTTATTGAGACAATGCTTCAGGAGCTAAGCTGTAAACATGCTAATGATCAAATGATAATCCCAAATGTATTGTACATTGACGTTTTATTGGTAAGTTTGATTGGATTTTGAAAAATATAGGGAATTTCGATGTCATTGGGTGTGTGGATGGGTAGGGTGGGGAATCCTAGGACAATGTGAAAAAAACAGAAGGATTTTATGTACAAGTAGGGGGATATGATATATTATATGCTATACTATACAGAAATAAAATGTGGCAGATATTTTTGGAAAGGTTTTTCTGTTACATTATACAGCTAAATAAATATGATTATAATTTATATGTTCAGGCAATTTTACCACCAGGATCTAAGCCAGCTGACCACTTGCAAGCTGATTTCACTGATGAAGCCATGGGATCACTAGAAGGTTCTAGAAATGAAAAAGTAGTAAGCAAGAAAATGAACAAAATTTGGAAAAAAGAATTAAAGGTATATACTCATATAGAAATTGT